CCCATCAGTACCAAGTAGTAAATGGTTGTAAAAAACTAGTATTATGTTCTTTGTCCATCACACGTTATATATAAAGTGCGACCCACTAACATCACTTCTATTTTTTTGAGGATTAATCTTGTATATCTTATACATATATACATATCACCATCACATATATGATACATGTATAAAATTTAAATTTTAAATTCAAATTTTACTCATGTATCATTCATCCAATTCGTGATGATGTATACACTGATAGTGTATATAAAATTTACTTTTTTTCTATCCATCCTCGCAATATTTATTATACTTATATACGATGGAGAAGAGAGAACCCAACTAAACCATGTTAAGAGCCAAAAGTTAGACAGTTGAGTCCAATAAGTATCAATCATTTATTCTACTTATACACTATAAAAATTATGTAAAGAGGGTAAAGGTTGCACCAGTTATACTGGAAGATTGTGTAGACCAACACACTCAAAATTTTTTTGATGAAAAGGAAACTGAATTTACTGTGCAGATTTAGTAAGTAAGGTTTAAACTCTTGACTTGGAACCGAAAGAGATTTAAAAAGTCTTTCATGGCGAACTTGGCAAACCCGTATTAGTTGATTATTAGCGATGAGGAAATTAGACGCGAACGATTGTCAGTTCAATCGACTCAAATTTGTGCATTTCAACATAATATAATCTTTTGTTCAATTATGCAAATCAATATGAATGTAATTCATAATATAAATATAGAAAACAACTTCAGACGCGACATTATGTTGCACATCATGTGAGGTCTTGGGATTTTGCTTCTTTTTTCGGATAATCATGCGCCTCGTACATTGGGTCCACAACTGTTGTGAAATTGACGGACGGAGTTGGTTCTGGTATTTTTTGTTGTGCCATGTGCAGTTAAAAAGTGCCGTGGGGACTTGTGCAGCTTAAGCTGATGATGGAAGGGGCCACGGGGCAGGGGTTGTTTAGTCCGTACCTGTGAAGGGAGCAATCCTAATAATAATGCATGTTTGTTTATAGGGATCTGTGTCTGGTAGTGCACGTGTACGATCAGTAGATCCAACCAGCAAAAGGGTTGGGAAAATGAGCACGGGGCTGGCGCCCTGAGGGGGGGCTTGGTTGGCGTCCCTAATTGGCAAAATTGCCTTCTGCGGCTTGGACTATTGGTCTTCAATGTGTGAAATGAAAACAAATCTTCACTTGGGTCCGTTTGTTTCGGGTGAAAATATTTTTCAGGAAAATATTTTTCTAATTTCTCGTGTTTGGTTGCACAAAAATTACTGAAAACATTTTCCTATGTAAAATATTTTCACTCATCCTATGGAAAACAACTTTCCTTCCAAACTTACTGAAGTTGTTTTCCGAAATGCATGCATCCCGCCTGTAGTATGTTCCAAACTTACTGAAAACATCTTGTAGTATGTTCTTTTTTTTTTTTAGTGTAAACAGGATGACTCAAACCTAAAACTTCTTCCTTACACTCCCTCCCCCATACCACCCAACCCAACCCAACCCTCCTCCTAGTATATTCAAAATAAATAAAAAAAATCTCATCTTGCTCATCTTATGCTAGTAATTAATTATGTATAATAGGGACATTCTTTTCTAGAGAAACTTTCAGCAGTGAGAGTGCAAGATATATGTCACAATAAGCATTGCATGTGATTGATATTTGACACTAAATGGCCAGCAATTTGTTTATTGTTTAAGGAGATATTTTTTATTCATATATACATTTCTCCAAGATTTTTTAAAGTTAAACAATGAGATAAATTTTCTTATTTTGCATGGGAAGAAATATGTAGTTATAATGTGTAGAAAGTAAAGATAGAGATAAAAGTGAAGATATTTCAAAAGTTAAACAAACACCAGAAAAATGAAGTAAGAAAATATTTTCAATAAGCTAACCAAACACCTGAAAATGATGAAAGGGAAATGATTTTCATGGAAAATTATTTCTACGAAAAATATGTTTCCAAAGAAAACATTTTACTTCCAACCAAACAGACCCTTGATTTATCATATTCCAAGATTGTTACTCATGCATGCATGTGAAGTTTTATTAGCCTACTAGCAAGGGCCCGTTTCACAAATGATTTTTTTTATTATTTATCTAACATTTTACTGTAATTTATGATAAAATTTTAAATAAAATTTATCAAAAAAACTTTTTAAAATTTGTAAAAACTTTTCTTTAAGAAATTTTTTTTCTTTTTTTCCTGTTTCTTTTTCTTTTCCCCTTTCTTTCATCTCCTCTTCTTATTTCCAATCACATTACTCATCATCTCCATCACTCCCCATTGGGCGGCTACCGTTATCTACGATCTTTTCTTTTTTTTTTTCTCTCCCTCCTTCCTCTCTTCCCTTTTTCCCTGTCATCTTCTCTCCTTCTTCGTCATTGAATCAAGAGAGAGGGAAGGAAAGAAGGATAATAGGAGAGGGGAAGAGGGAAAGGAGTAGAGCTGTTAATCGAGCCGAGTCGAGCCGAGTATTTGGTTGCCGAGCTCGACTCGAGTTTAATTCGAGCCGAGCTCAACTCGAGCTCGTTAAGAAAATGAACTTTAAAATGTGTTCGAACTCGACTCGTTAAATGTATATGTGACTCGAGTTCGAGCTCGAGCTCGACTCGTTTGTGACAAACGAGTTGAGTTTCACGAGCTCGAGCTCGAGCTCGTGCAAATTAACATTAATAAAAACCTATAATTTTTAATTTATATAATTTTGATTTCTAAAATGACAAATATGCCCTTCATTAACGAGTTCTAACGAGCTACTCGAGTATCAAACGAGCCGAGCTTACTCGGCTCGTTAACTAAACGAGCATGTTTCGAGCTCGACTTGTTAACCAAAATTAACGAGTCGAGCTCGAGCCTTAACGAGCCGAGCTCTAACGAGCTTTCGAGCTACTCGATTGGCTTAACAGCTCTAGAAAGGGGGAAAGGAAGGAGAGAGAGAAAGAGAAATGAAAAGGAAAGATTAAGAAAGAAAACAATCGTCGACACTACCACTAACAAAGAAGTTAGTCGGCGTTGGCCGGTAGCAAAGATAGTGGTGAGTTGAGGTGGGAGATGAAGCAAAGGAATGGAAGAAAGGTATTTTTTTTTTTTTTTTTTTACATATTTTTGAGTATTTTAAGGTGTGTAGTTTAAAAATTTTTGAAAAATTTTTATGAAGTTACTATAGTAAAAATTGGTAAAAAAAAAAAAAAAAAAAACTCATAGGGAAAAATTTTGGCAAAAAATTCTTTTACCAAAAAGGCCCAAAAGATATTTTGTACATCCGGCTTCATTCCCATGTTGGAATTATTTAAATAAATATCTAATTTCCTTTCCCTAAATACAGTACTAAATGGCACCGAGAAGTATATAGTACGGCAAAAAGGTGCTCTAGAAAATGACAGCCCCGCAGCCTCGTGCGATTTTTTCGAAGGATATGGGCGATGCATACCAGCGACAAAAGGCAAAATCCATTTCAAATTACTACGTTGACTAAACTATACTACAAGAAAGTATTCCACGGAGAATGTTTCACAAGAACTTCTTTTCCCTAAGACTGGAATACTATTGTGTTTGGATTGTATTTTTCATGATTTTTTATGAAAAAATTACTGTAGTGATTTGATGTATGTAAGAAAAAAAGCTAATAGAAAAATGTGATTACGGAAAACAACGTAATTTTTTGACGAAAAACAGCAATCCAAATAAGGTTGATCTTGCTTCTGTTTCACTGGAAAATTACATCAATTCCTTACCATTTGGCATGTTGTAATTTGTCATTCTCAATGCTTAGAACATTGAAAGGGAAGTGAACCGATTTTGTATTGAGCTTTTCATATTCTCAAATTCAACTCGGTTGGCTACCAGCTATTCCCCCATGTTGCGTTTTAACACAAATCTCTAATGTGTGCAGGGCCTAACAAAATGGTAGAGTCAACCTCGAAGCTGGATTCAACATGTTAGTATCTTCAAGATGTTGACACCTTGCTGCTCGAACTCTCATCTTATGACAATTACCTCACATTTATCACTACTTTAACACAATTGGCAATGAAGTGTAAATTTGCATACTAACATGTTGTTTCATGTACATTAATGAGGACACTCCTTAAAGCTAGACAAATTTACATCTTTTGTTTTATGACCTCAATTTAGATTTATGGAGAAATTATTTAGAAATACACTTGAAGAGCTAGTTGGTAAAGATGACATGTGTGTTTACACCACAATGTACTTTTGCATGTACATGATGGAGTATACATTTATTGTAAAATCTAGTGCTAGCACCCTTTTTATACCCTGCTAGGTAGTTAAAATTATTTATACACCATCACAATTCCAACTCTCTATTTAAGAAGCAAAATTCAATTGGGTTGTATAGAAGGTAGAAGGTCTTGTCAGGACCAGAGATATGGACACAGAATTTGAAATGTGAACTCACCGACATTTTTTTTTTTACAGCTTTTTTGAATCGATTATGTTTTATATAATGAGATAGGTGATTGCGAGTTATAATTGAAAAGAGTAGTTACAAGGGTTTTTTTTTTTTTTAAAAAAGAATAATTAAAATCATTCAAGAGCTTCTTTGTCTTTTTACTTTCACATTTTCTTGATTCTGTTTTATGTTTAGATAAAAAATTGATTATCATAAAATAGGATTTTTGTAGAAACAATCTATATAAAAATAAAAGCGGTATGCACATTTGTTTTACCTTTTCATTTACTAAGTTACTTCATCGACTTTGTCCAAATCCTAATTCTAAAGAGGATTTTAAACCCTTAGGAGATACTTTAATACTCCACGTAAATAAAAATTGGATTGGGTGGTAAGATAAGAGTGAATGTAAGTAAATAGGAGGTTCTGACATTTACTTAAAAAAAAAAAAAAACTAATATCTACAAACCATTTGGGTCAAAGTGACGATAAAGAAAAGTATAGGTACTAAAGTGTCATAAATAGTGCTTTATAGTTTATAAGATGTAGACCCTCTTTCCCAACTTCCGCACCAGAGACACGACGTCGTCGCTCGTTGAATTACTGCGCTTTTTCCTAAAACCCTACAAGAACAAGAACCCCTGAGAATTAAATTCTGGAGCACCTCCATCACCACCACGTCCAAGAGCCCTGATACTGGCTGATTCCGAGCCGAGACCAGGGGAAAAATTTACGACGATGAAAAACAAGAAAAGAAAGCATATGCATGCCCACCAAAAAGAAGAAGAAGAAGAAGAACATCAGGGTCCTTCTAAAAGCTCCAGAGTTGACTCCTCTCAAGGAACATATGAAAAGCAAAAAACAGAGGCAGAAGATGGGAAACTACTGTTTAATTTAGAAGAGGTGTCTCCATGGAGGAATTTACAGTTGATTTTGTTGCTTCAGAATAAACACATTGATCTTCCCACGTCAGTATTCTTCTCTCTCTTTCCGTTTCCTTTTTACTAATCAGTAGACGCACCATTGTCATTTATGCTAACAGTATACGTTCAATACTTAAGTTGTTTGACAAAATTGTTCAAATGAGTGGAACAGTTTGGGGATTCCTGTTTATTATTTGTTTGAAGGGGATTCATGCTATTAGAAAGCCCACTGAAGCTTTGAAGGTTGTTTCCTGTTTGTTATGTTTCTGTTTTCATCTTTGTGTTGGGTGGGAGGTGAGGGTGGGTTTGAGAGTTGGCTAGGTGTAAAGAGGGCTGCTTTTGGTTTAGTGTTGCAATAACATCGCATGAGCTGTCGCTCAAGGAAGCCAAAAAGGGTTGGGTTTGGAGGGAGAATAAACCAACGTAATCTACTGTCTTCCATTTTCTCAAACACAGCTATTCTGTAGAATGATTAGATTAATTTGTCATTCAAAGATTTGCCATATTTCTGTTGGAGTTTGATTGGTTTCAATTTTAATGCAGGAAGCTGGAGGTGGCTTGTAAGTATGTGCTGTTAAGAACATCTATAAGAGAAGATGGTGACGACAGCCTTGAAATTTTGGATGCAGTTAGTATGTCAAGAGTAGTAGTTTTTGTTAGCAACTGGATTGAGTCAGTTTTGATTTCTTCAGTTAAAAAAACTCCAGATAAAGGATCTGAGGGTCACCCAGAAACTGTTGGCTTCTGTTTAGATTACAGATGCTGGGTGATTCTGAAATTCTGTTTGGAGGAGTCTCTAAAAGTTAATGTATCATTGAACTATTCAAGAGACTTTCTACGGGTAATTGATTGCATCTCACGGGATGCATTGGCATGTTTCAGTCTTGAGTTAATAGATTCCAAGGAGTCAGCTTTGAGCAGTGAAGGCAATGAATTGCAAGAAACTGTGCTCAGTTGCATTTCATTCATATTTTCATCCCATAATGGGGTTGCAAATGCAAATTTGGACTTGTGGATTATGGTAACTGATACAGTGCTTGAAATTGTCAGAAAAGTTTTCAGTAACAAAGTTGCTGACAGCAAGGCGGGTATCTTCATCCTTCAATTCTCATGCTATCTGCTTGAGCCATTTGCTAAGTTTTTGAGAGTCCATCCAGCTCGTAAGAATGGTTTTCATGATTTTATTGATCGGCTTCTCGAGCCACTGATGCATCTATTGGATGAGTTACGTCTTTCTACATGCAAGGATCTAGGATGGAGTAAAAACCTACTAAAATTAGTTGAAGAAATTTCATCTCAGGGGTTATTTCACGCAGCTCATATTGATGGATTTTTGAGCTTGCAGAGCACAGGCAAGTATAAAAAATCTGATGACGGGAAATCAAAGGAAAGAATATTTTTTATTAAAAGTTATCATAGAAAACTATTTGACAAGTTGGAGAAGATCATAGCCTGCAAAAATTCATTGCCATTAGGTGGCGTGGGAGCACTATTTCACTTGTTTGTTGTGTGTGCCACAAAGCAAAAAGGAGTTTCAAGTGTCAATAAAGTTTCCAGGCAACTGGAAGATTCTGCTGGTCATATTTCTGAAAGGTCTTCTGGTAGCAGTAATGTGGCTTTACAAACACAGAATTGTTCAGGTTCTGTGAGTGCAGTAACACGGAAGTCTCTTTTTGATTTCTTTGTCCAAATTATGGAATCTTTTCTATCGCATATTACAATGCATCTTCAAGCTGAATGGAATGTAGGAACCCCCTTGTCAGATGTTCTGTGTGTGTTGATATCAGCAAACAAGTTGCTTGCCAGTTTTAAGCAGGAAAATATATACACACGATTGGAGGATATTTCTGAAGGGGCATGCATGAATTTCCTGAGATTCATTTATGAGACCATTATGTTGTTGTCTGTCAAGATTAAACATCTGATGTCATCATTTGGTTCAAATGTTAGAAATCAGGAGGTCCTGATTCTAATGGCAAAGGAGATAGTTGTTGCTGTGCATCTCTTAGTGGAAATTGAATATGAGGTTGTTGGGGATGATCTAGAAAACTTATGGGGGATAATGTTCACATTTGCATCCTCCAGCCAGTCTATGGTTGATGTGCCGGATAAGCACCTATTAATCTCGGAGATACATATTCTTGGATGTGCCCTAATCAATCTTTACAGTGAACTTCGGCAGGTTGGTTGAATATCTCATATCAATTTTGACATGACTGCTCTTGAGTTCAAAAAGTGGGAATATATAATGAATAGGCGATGTTGGTGCTGAAATCAGAGGCTTTCAGTTTTAAACGTTATTTTGTTTGATACTAATAGTGACCAACCTATGGAACATTGGCCTTTTGTTGGTAGAGACCTATCCCCCCGCCCTACAAGAAAAGATTTTCTCAGAGGGGCACAAGTAAGAAGGAAATTATCAATTTCATTTGTACAACCAGGCTATAGGCAAACTCTATTTGCTGAATAGGATGCAAACAACATCATAGGATAAGTAGGAGGTCATGGGTTTGGTATACAAACACAGTTGCATGCAAATGTAGCAATCTTAGTCTTTCCCCATTGCTTGTTATTGTTAGGCTGAAGGAGGTTGCATGTAACAATGACAGAGCTTCAGTTAAAGAAAAAATACAAGGGACCAGAAGTAGATGGCAGTTTGTTGTTTTTTTGACACTATTGTTTTGCATTTTTACACTTGATTGTCCTGTTTCAGTCTCTGTTTTCTTATGGTGGATTGGAATCTGAAAGATACTGATCTTATAGTTAAATGAATGCAGGTTAATACCTCAGTGTTTGCTCTCTGTAAAGCAGCAAGGCATTTGGAATCAGCTCATAAAGACGGTGAAGCATGCACTTCAGAATCTTATTGTTCTTGCTCAATGTCATTGAGTACATTGCTATGCTCGCTGGAGTTTAGACTTTCCATCTACAACGGTTTCAAGTCCATTCCAGAAGGCCAAGTGAGTGGATGTATTCGACTATTAACTGCAGAAATTTCTGAATCCCTGAAGTGGTTGAATGCTCAACTTCAGCTTGGTCCTGCAGATGATTTATCAAAGCCAGGTTGTACTGATGGTGGTTTCTCATGGTTTGATTTGAAGGCAGAACTTTTGGGAAGATTTTTGTCTGAAATATATACTTTAATTCTAGATTCCATGACTGTCACTTCTGGTAATTGTAATGCTGTTGGTAGTTCCATCAAGGATTTGATGGAACTTATGTGCCACAGCTCAAATAGCCAAGATTTACTTAAGCCAGATATCATGGATAAGTTTTTCTCCCTTGTTTCTGGACAAAGTTCCAGCTGGGGGGTTGGATTAGAAAATGATTCCTTGTCATGCTGGCTCTTAGTGTTCTTTTTCCGTCTATATTTATCCTGCAGAAGCTTATATCGACGAGTGATCAGCCATGTACCACCACATACATCCAAAAAAATGTCAGAAACAATGGGTGACCCTTATGCAGCTTACTCTGGGAAGGATTGGTTGGATGGCATTGTTCAGAATGCTGAAGGCTACTTTTCTTGGATCATCCAACCATCAGCTAATCTTCTTACCATAATAAACAATGTTTCAAGGATGTATTTTCAAGATACTCTGGCTGGTTGCCCGCCTTTAGTCTATGTTTTAAATGCCATGACTATTCAGAGACTTGTTGATTTAAACAGGATGACAAAATCCTTTGAATATTTGCTTGCAAGAAATGATAAGTTAATTGCGGCAGAGATGATTGATGATACTGGAGTATCATATAAGAGAGGTAAAAAGTGGAGGAAGTGTCTCTTGAGTATGAAGCAAGAGGCTGCTGGGCTGACTAAATTCATGATGTTATGTTTCTCGTCATTGTTTAAGGACCAGTTAACTATCTCATATGATAGTGGACTTTCTAAATGCTTATCCATCCAAAATCTTCAGAAAGACAATGCATGGGACCTTAATGTTGGTGCTCTGGACCAAAAGACATTACCAGCTGCAATGTGGTTGATTGCTTGTCAGCATATTGATATCTGGTGCAGACATGCTTCTAAGAAAGACCTTAAGCAATTTCTCACACATTTGATCAACTGTTCCCTTCTTATTGGAAGTGGTGGTAACGACAAATTTAGATCACACTGCATTAACAAGGTTGGCCATCTGAGGAATGTTACCACACAGCAAATCTCGCTTGAACTTCTGAATGACACTGGTCTCTATGAACAAAAAGTAAGATAGTATGTTCATTCCAGATAACATATTCACCAGCTTTTAGAGTTGCATGTGTCACACAAGGGACAGGCTGGCCTTGCCCAGTGGACCTCGTAATAAATTGTTAGTTATTGTTTATTTGCCTCTAGGGTGAAGTCATAGAGTCTTTATGTAGGCACCACCTTCTCCCTCTTTCTTCTTACATTCCCATGGTCCCAACCACACTTTTTGCTTTCCATTCTCCCAATTCCCACAGGCATCTAGCTATTCACTTAAAATTTTTTGACTGGATTCTAGCTGCAGGCAATTTCTTACTTTCTGGTATGTTAGTTTTTTCGCAGGCATATAGCATCGACATTTTGCCAGATCTTGGAAGCATCCTTGTCATCTATTTCTGTTGATTTTGGAGAAGGTTATCTAAGTTCACAACATGATTGGTCGGAAATTATACGCGCTCTTAGAAATCCATCTAACATTATTCATGTCAAGAAGTCTGCGAAGAATGCTGAAATTTGCAGAATAGAAGATGTAGCTCCTTCCAGCAACACTGAGTATGCTTTGTGTAACAGTTTGCTGAACTTTTTGTCTTGGATGCCAAAAGAGATTCTAGGTCCAAAATCTTTCCAATCGTTTGCGAATTGCATTCTCAAACTTGAGCAGTATGTTCAATTCCTGTGAACCTTAGTTCTGATAATATGTTTAAGTGGCTATGCATATGATATGCGAGATCTGCTAGCTGCTGATGTTGTTTTTGGCATTTAAGCCATTTTTTCAATGTGCGGTAGGTTTATAGTATATGTTTCCAAGGTTTAGATCTGTGTTTTGGTCTTAAGATGTGAACCAAACTATGGATGTTAACTAACTAGAAAAGTATAACAACTTGGGAATGAATTTTTTTGGTTTTTGTTTGCATTGTGCAAATTGGATCAACAACTAAATCCAGAAGGGTGGGGGTGGAATGGGTATTCATTGGATCATCTTTCTTAAATTTGCTTTATGGAGCCTTGGCACTTTATGAAATGAACTCTTTTACCTGTCATACTATTTTAAATTTAAAATTACAATGTGAAGATCCTCTTGCCACTAACATTGGCTCTTTCATTTGTTAATAATTTGGTAAAAGGATTAGTTTCTTTAATTTAAGTCCTGAGATTAGAAGTGGGACAGTGCCAGACTTTTCAGTAGAAAGATGCAGAGTGAAAAAGAGAAGCATAGTTCAAAGTTAAGACGGTAAAAACTCCCAACAGGGAACCATCTAGTCTTCTGTTTAGATATGACCTTTTGTATTAGCTATTGGTTCCTTCAATTTTTCGATATTTTCTTGTCTTTGCTTGACTATCCTTTGCTTTGATGATTTCAGTATAATGTGGGCTTCTTTTGACTGACAGTGTGGTATTGCATCTGTGGTCACTGTGGCATTCTAGGTTGCGTATTGCATCTGTGGTCACTGTGGTGTGGAAGCACTGACCTTTGGTGGTTGCTTCAGCTAACAACTCTTTATTTTTCAGTTTAAGAATTTGATATTGGCTACTTGCCCTATATAGGGTTTGTCTCTTGATTAATACTCCAGCATCTTAGTTAATAAGTTTGGATTCAGTAGAAGTATAAATGCACATTATTTGTATTACATATGCAAATTTTTGTGAAAGTTTGCCTACCTGTCTATATGTGGTTTGAATTTATGCTCTTTCAGATCCTAATCAGCTTAATCTTGTAGAACAATTCACTGCAAATTGGAAAATTCAAGTGGGGCGAGGACTTTATTATTTTCTTTTCTTATTTGATTTGAATTCTATGTTACTGGTTAGTCATGCAACATGAGTTACTCCTTTTTTTTTGGGGCAGGGGGGGGTTGCAATTTCAGTTTATGAAGCATGCACAGCTTAGAATTCTTTCTCAGTGTTTCATTAAAGTCGTGCATTTCAGGGTTGCGGTTGGCAGCTTGTTAGGTTGGTACAACACCTTACTTGCAGGTGGTCATGATGAGTTTTTCCAACTGTTTCTCTCCTGTCGGAGGACCCTTAAAAGTTTATTGATGGCTTCATGTGAAGAGAATATGGATTACAATCACTCTTCACTTATTAGCTTACTATTAGAGGGTTCATCTCCTGTATTATGGCTTTTGGAGTCATTGCTTGCAGTAGTTGGATTTCAAAATGCTTCTTCAGAAGCTGTTCCTTCTCAACTGAAAGATTTGTTATTTTCATTGATGGATCACACATCATATATGTTTTTGACAGTGGGCAAAAACCGGTTGCAAATTTCATTGCTTTTTTCAGGGATGGATTATAATGGACAAGATAATTTTGCTGTTGGTAGTCAAGACACAGATTTGGCTGAAGATGAACCACATTTAGATTTTTGCAGAGACAATGATCCATGTAAAAGTTTAGCACTTGTAGCCAATGTTTTAAGCGAATGCATGCAGAACTCACTTGCATGTTTTAGCCAAGCCTATGCAAGTGAAAACTTGGGAGTTCTGCCTGAGTTTCAGGAGTTGAAGAAATTGTCACCTGTGATATCTTGCATTCAAGGCTTCCTATGGGGTTTAGCTTCTGGGCTCGGCAACATAGATGCGGAGAATTGTAAAATGAGGATAAGATTGTCCAAATGCGAATTGGAACCTCTGTACAAACTAAATATCTTTATAAATACATGTGCAGAATATGTAAGCTACTTCTTACAGCTATTTCTTCTTGAGGATGATTCATTGGCTCAAAATCTAGCAATTGCTCAAAAACTTGACCAGCCAGAATTGGACCATCTGTGTTTGGAAAATGAAGAGGTGTTCATTAATAAAGGTGCTGATGGTAATGATGTTTTGCATGCGGAAATGTCACAAGTTAGTGAACCTTTTGGTAACAGAGGAAATAATGAAGTACATTATATTTCTGACAAATCTGTAGTGAAAGGGAAGCCCATTCCAAAAAATGAAGATGTTGAATCTCTTCTAGCCAAGGTTCAATTGTTTGATTCAAGATGTTTAAGGAAGACATTTTTGCATGAACTTATCAGAGGTGACAAATCAGAAGAGGCTTATTTTCTTAAACAGCTATTTCTTGCTGCTGCAGCTATATTGAGACTGAAGTTGGAGCTGGGTTCCACTGCTCTGTTGCAAAATATTATGCCAATTCTACTTGGAGTTTCTGAAGTCTTATTACTGGAATTTGCAAGAGATGTTGCTCCACCTCCATTTTCTTTTGTATGGTTAAATGGGGTTATCAAATTTATGGAAGAATTAGGTAATTGTTTTCCTTCATCCAGCCCTATATTATCCAGGAAATTGTATGGGAAGCTGATAGACTTGCATTTGAGGTCTATCGGAAAGTGCATTGTTTTACAGGGAAAAATAGCTACTCTTTCTTCAAAAGAGACTGGGTCAAGTATGGAAAAGCCAATTGAGTGGTTGAACTTTTCTGAGTCCTCCATTTCTCACGAATTGAGTTGCTTGGATGACTTTATAGCTAGACTGAGGACATCATTCAGAGTTCTGGTTCAGAAATCATCAGAGTTGCATTTGTTAACAGCAATTCAGGCTATAGAAAGAGCTGTTGTGGGAGTGCAGGACGGCTGCTTGACAAACTATGAAATTCATATTGGCAGTTTGGGTTGTGGGAAGGTATCTTCAGTTGTTGCTGCTGGCATTGATTGTTTGGATTCACTTATTGAATTTGTGACAGGTGAGGTTACTTTGCTTTTTGTACCTCACTCAGTTGCCCCCCCTCTTGTTTTGAATAACATTTTCAAAAAGATAATCTCTATGTGGATTGCCAACTTTCGGCATGTTGATTTCTTGTCTGTTAAATCGTGGATTGTTCTTGGTTTCTCTGTGTTTGTACATCTTTATGTCTCTTGGTATCTTCCTATTTTTCTCAATTGATATGTTAGATCCCATCAGACGATCTGGTTTTTTGCCTTCATCTGATTTGTTTCTGGAAGAATAAAGTAGTTTTTGCACAGAGAACCAAAGATTGGTGCTGAACAAGGCCTTGGTTCATATGGACCAGCAGGACCAAAAATTCTTTATTTGACATGCGGGAAAAAGTTGTGAATATAATGCTTTGGGATTTATTTCATTGATGATATTGGAAAGGAACTAGTATCACAGTAGAGCTATTTAGTCGACATGCTTTGTGAGTCCCTTTTTCTTCTCCAGTTGTTTTAAATAACAAATTGCCACAGTAATGCATCTTTTGTGAATTAGATCATTTCATGCAGTGTTATTTATGCATGTAATTATATTTTTTCCATTTGCTTCTAGGGCGCAAACGTCTGAACGTAGTAAAAAGACACATCCAGAGCTTAGTTGCATGTCTCTTCAACGTAGTCCTACACTTGCAGGGGCCCAGCATTTTCCAAGGAAATGTTAACTTTGATGAAGGTTACACTGGTCCAGATTCTGGGTCAGTCATCCTTATGTGCATTGAGTTGCTGAGAAGGGTTACTGGAAAGCATGCTCTCTTTCAAATGGATGCCTCCTATGTTGGGCAGTCCTTAAACATACCTGCAGCATTATTCCAAAATCTCCTCCAGCTTCAACTCTCCGATTCTTATTCTTCAACTACTTCAAAAACCACAGATACTTGCTCCCTAAAAATCACAAGTGGCCGTATCTTAGACGGAAGGTATTCCTTGGACCTATATGCTGCATGCTGCCGATTATTGTCCTCCCTTGTTAAGCATCATGGAAGGTATGCAAAAACTTCCTATATTCTTGGTTCAAATGGTCCTAGAAATCTGCCTTAATCCCTTTTTATTGGCTAATCAATTTTGCTATCCCTGTTCTGTTGATCTTTAGTGAGACTCAGCGATGCGCTGCTCTTCTCGAACACTCAGTCAGTATTCTTCTTCATTGCTTGGAGATGGTGAATATCGATCCAATTGTGAGAGGAGGGAATTTTGCATGGGAAGTGCAAGAGGGTGTTAAATGTGCCTGCTGTCTGAGAAGAGTATATGAAGAGGTATGTGTATATGTGTGTGCGTGTACTACTCAGGGATAAATTGCTCTTAAGTAACTCTGTGGATAAATTGATTCTTATATTCCATGCACTAGAAAGATTGTACTTTTCCGAGTGTTTTAGGCATGCTGCAAGATATTTCAACCTGTTCAGGGTTTGCAATTTTAATTTTAGTTCATGTTCCAAATCCCTATGCTTTTGCCATTTTCCAAATCCCTAATTCTTTTACTAAAAGGAAAAGAACTTGTCCAAATGCCTTATTGACCCCAAAAAAAAAAAAAATGTTGGTATACTCTTAATTTTAGCTAGACCTTGGAACTTGAATGGAGAGCAAACTAAATTACTTGATGCATGTTCAATTGCATGTACTGGTCTCACCCACATTAAATAACAATTGCCATTTCAAAAAAAAAAAAAGGAAAAAGAAAAAGAGAAGTTAACTGGTTATTTTTTCCTTGTTTTGCAGATAAGGCAGCAGAAGGATAGCCTTGGTCGCTACTGTTTTCAATTTTTATCCTGTTACATATGGGTCTACTGTGGATTTGGTCCTCTTAAAACCGGCATCAGGAGGTGATTCCTCGTGTCTTACGTTCACTTCGCGGTCTACTATCCTGATCATTAGGAATCTGGATTTTAACATCAATTATGGATGATATTTGCATCTGTCCAACTTTTACATTGTACATGCCTTGCACTCACAGCACAATGGTTGAACTTGTCAACAGGGAAATTGATGAAGCTTTGAGACCTGGTGTATATGCTCTAATTGATGCTTGTTCAGCAGATCAGCTTCAGCACCTTCACACGGTATTTGGAGGTGAGACAACCTTTTTTTTTTTTTTTTTTGAGAACTATAAAGGGGCTAGTTGCATCGAATCTAACTTTCTTATTCTACTGGTCTGTAGAGGGTCCTTGCAGAAGCGCTCTGGCAATCTTGCAGAATGATTACAAGTTATATTTCCAGTACGAAGGAAAAGTCTGAACTCAGGTTCTTCTGGTGGAAAAGGCTCGTATATTTGGACAAAGTGCTGTTCCTCGAGGGCTTGCTGGTTGGATAAGCAAACAAAATTTTGCTTTTACCTGTTCGTCATTTTTTGTGTGTGTATATATATGTAGTTTCTAGCGTCCGCAGACATTTAGGGGCCAAGACAGCAGCATGCCTAAATTCCGCTTGCTAGTGTCCTTGCAAGGACATATGGGCCTGAGGAGGCCCAATGTTTTTTTAGAGTTGGTAGTTGGATTCATTCGTCATTGGTTTCGAATCATTCCAAGTGGATCTCTAATCAGCACTGTTTGGTAAACCAAATTTACATTAACTTGCTATTCAAATACGCGCACGCACAATTATTACCTCCAACTTTGCGTTAAAACATTTGTATGGTTCAATTCTGCTTTGTTAGCTCCTCAGCTTCTCTTAACCAATTAATTATAGACTGGTTAGACGACCCACTTATGCTGCAGCTGCTTCAAAAAACATAGTACTATTAGATTTTTTTTTTTCAATTTGGAAAAAAATAAGAGATTGTTTTTTTTCAACAATCGAAATTACTGAAAATAACACAACAAAGATAGATTAACACTCGGAGATAATCGAAATCCTGGTGCAGAGAGTACGATGAAATGCCCTGAAATCAGGCACCAAAAGATGGGGATACAGTTTGCTTTCAAACTGGGCCAGTCCAACAACTGCCAATCAAGAACTGCAAAGTGGACCGTGACACATTAAATTACGTTGACAGGCCATTGATGAGTGATGAGCATGACTGATCCCCACAAATAAGGAAACCATTTTCTAGCTAGGAAAAAAAGTACCTTTCACTCAACCTACCAAAAAAAAAGTAATTTTTAAAAAAGGAAATTAACTTAAGTTCACTATTCCAAATGGTGATGATCAAGAAGTCGCCAAAAACAAAACCTACGGTTCTAAACTTTTCGTACACATTACCACTTAATTTCAGTAGGTCCTCTCACACTGCATCAGACATCCCCTTTATAGTCAAGTGCTGCTAATTGGGCAATAACTAGGACCAGCAGACTAGCAGTACAATAAGATTAAGTCACGTACCCCTTCAGTTCCCAACGACTTCCTGAATTTGTCCTAAAAATAAAGAGTCCAGACTCCAGAAGCCACCACTCAATCATCAATCGTATATGATCATGGTTCACAGAAGAAGCACTGCAGCCTCCTTCTTGGAGGTTTTCTCACTGAACCCTCTGCCTTATCCGGTTCTGCTGTTCTTGGGAGTCATCTGTATCTTTCTTGGTCTCCAGTCGTACGTCTCTTACGAGTCAGTGGTAGAGACCGCTGAAGTAAACCTGGGATGGATAATGTTTGCCGTGCCGGTGGTCTTGATATTCCTCGTGCGGTTTTTGTCCAGCATAGACAGCCCGGAGAGCTTCTTTTGGGGTACTTCGCCGTGGGATCGGCATCGGAGGATGCAGTACTATCGGTACCCGGAAGGGAGCTCGCCCTGGGGAGTGGCTGCCGTGATACTGCTGCTGATTGTTTTGCTGCAATTTCAGTCTACTTTTCTTGATAGTTGGTTTATATGACCAGTAGTAGTTGTTCTTGTGCAACATCAGTTCATAGTCCACTTTCTCTTGTGTTTTTGCAAGTATATACAGCTTGTTGGTTGATAGTAATAATTGGTTTTGCGTTACTCTTTCTTTCTTTTTTTTTTTTTCTTCGTGTGCATGTATTAAAAGCAGGGAAATCTTTAGATTGTTAAAGTGTTACACGGTAGGATCGGAGTGAGAGTTTGCTATCTTAGATGATGTTGGTGATTCATGATTGTTGAGTTGTACTCCATAATCCATACAGGGCCTGAAATTCTGCTGAAAATCTGCAACAAATGGAAAAGATAAAAAGAGAGGAAAGGAAGTTGCTAATCAATGGAGTAGTAAATAAATAGCTTAATGCGTGTGCAGATTGTGCATGCTTTTTGACGGCTTTCAACTTTCCTGAATTAGTTATTATTTGATGGTCTTAGAGCAGCATATCATTTGTTTGGGGATCTCCATTCTTGATGGAGCCCCATCAGTTACTCCACTGATAGAGGTTTATTTATGGACTGATAAATGTTTTTTGGTTTATCATGCATGGTCGGCAGGTCTCTTGGTCGATATTTCAATGATCGCTATATGTGAGTGTGACCCAGGATTTATTATCTGAATCACAACTTGAATTGATTAGCAGTTCATATGGACTTTTGTTGTGGACATGGTGCATTGATTCCTGTTCCTGATTCTTGAAATTGATTGGTAGCGCAATAATACATAATACCATCATGATTCAAGGAAACAGATTCCAACGAGTAAAAAATCATGGTGGTGGTAAAGGGTTTTTTTTCGGAAGGAATGGTGGTTAAGGGTTGAAGGCAGATTATTTAATTTAAAGATGTTAATTAGATTCGCTCCCTCATGTATTGTTGCTGCATTTCTGCACTGGGCCATTTGTGCTCGGCCTAAAGCAACTATATAGATCCAATTCCGTGATGCAACTCATAGGCTTGCATGGCTCTTCGGGCCGCCCATGGCCACCACTGCCAGTGCTGGAATAATATGTCGTCTTCTAAAACCGTCCTCGATATGAAAGCCAAATTTTGGAAAATTTTCAACAGGAATCACAGATGAACAAACATAACAATTTTTTTGGCAATTTACTATTCTAAGTAATGTTTCAATTTATTTCTAAACACACACACACAGATGCACACAACTCCTAGCTTGCAAGTTACTGCTGCCTTTCGGCTTACTAATCCGAGCTCCGCAGAGGGGTAAACCACATGGATTGAAATGATGATTGATAAGAAACCAACACCACGAGGATCACCACCAACAAGGCAACACCCCATGGGAATCCGCCACTTTGATGTGCTGATGAACCGGGCCCGGGCTTTGGAGTCCCGAAGTTGAACCAGCCACCAGAAAAGCTAGGACGAATTAACAAGATTAGAAGGATGGGCACTAAGAAGAGGAGCAACTTCAAGTCGATGGTTGCAGCGCTTGTGGATTGGGGCAATGATAACAAGCAAATGACAATGGCAAATATGGCCAGTAGCGGAAGCGGTGGCAAGGAGAGCGAGGCCATCGTCTGGCCTCTCCATCCTTGTTTCCATTCCGGACCCCTCCTGGAATAAAACCAACCCATCTCTCTCCTCTGCTGTTTTCTTACCATCTTTCGAGCATTTTGGAAGGATGATTTATAGTAGAAGACATTGAAGGCCTTTGGGATGCTTTACTTTCTAGGAAGAGTTGCTTGGGAATAATATATGCTTTTGAGTGTGGATTCTCCTGTTCTTTAACTAATGCTCACTCAAAGCTGCTGATGCTCTTAGTCCACTTGCCGCCGTGGTGCCAACATAAACGTACGCATACCCTTTTCCGTAGACGTGCACAGGCTAACCCCAGCACTTGGCAAAGGTCAAGAAACGATAATTTGAATGTTTTAGCACTAAGTTTCACTTGTCAAACAAAACTCTGGCTCATTTTGACCAAAATAAAAACTTGAATTCCTTTCAAAAGAACACTGCGGAAAATTAAACTGCTTATTTTAAGTAGCCATCTCTCAGTTCAGTGTATTTGCTCAGCAAACTTAGAAAACTCCACCCCGATTCTTGTGTGCAGCTTCTAGAGAGCCACATCATACTTTTGGTGCTGCTGCCAACCAAGAATAAATGGTAGAGCTCTCCCCCCCCATCTTCCACCTCCTCCTCCATGACAGATTGAAAAATATTTTTTAAAAAAAAGGGATAACCAAAAAGAGGAAATGAAGATTTATAAATAAATAAATAAAAAGGCTCGGGATTCAAACTTAATAAGCTTTCAAGCTCAAACCAGTCCACAACTTAAGTTCCGTAAGCATCACCAACAAGACATTCCATTTTATTTTTTGCCCCCTCAAATATGAGAACAGAACAAACAAAATCCAACTCTTGATTCCTCTGCGTTTTATTTATATCTGAGCGAAAAATTTATGTTGCATAACATAAAATCACTCTGTTCCGGGAAGATCATACATTGTTGAACTCAAAACTTATTTTGTTACACCAAAAGCTAAAATTTTAGCATACAATCTCTATTATTTTATATAGTTGAAGCGAATTAAGTGCATCATTCAATGTATGGGACAAAGAAGTTGAACAGGATCAAAATCTGACCAAAAGATCCTGTTTGCGCAATACTTATACCTCAGAAGATACTCCAATCCGCCTATCCTTTTGATGCCAAAAGCTACCTCAGAGGATCATGCAGCAACCTTCTTGGAAGTTACAGAATTAACAATTGTAGCAAACTCAGGTCCCTGCAGCCAATGAATCAAACATCAATTTTATGTTCCAGGTATGTGACTCTCTCTCTCTCTCTCTGCTTTCCCAACAGACACCACTCACCCTGCTAAACTCCCAATGCCCACTTTTAGGAGCCAAAAACACCAGCAACACTCAGAAATTCAAAGCATCCTCTTTCTAAAATAAAGCTCCTTAAAAAACCATCTCTTAAAATGGAGAAGAAAACCTCAATAATCAAAATGCGCCAATTTTTATGAGATCACTAATCCCTGTCATTAAGAACAACAAATTCACTACCACATGCCTCTATGGATATTCAATTATTAACACCAAAGGCAACACATGTAAAGGTTACTAAACAATAAACATAGGATTGTATGTCTAAAAGCCTTCTGAATCTGATTGAATATAGCAAACGATTGCCAAATATAAGACTAACATGCCATCAAGTCTAGGTACTGCGAACTAACAAAATGAGATGAACTGTTGTCTCAAATGAAGATAAGAAGTGACAGTATTCAAAGTTGTGAAGTTGCCGAACTATCTGCATGAAATAAACAGCTTGCAGTCATGGCAAGATAACATGTTGCTATCACTGGCACGAGAGAGCCTCTTCTCCTTGCTCACCCCAATCCCTTTTTGGCCAAACTTTGAAATATGTTAAGTTTTCATTTGCTAGTCCACACCAAGTAAACAAACATAAAACCTAAACAGTAGACAACAGAACTAGGTATAAATATCTAAAAGGCAGAATAGTACCTTTAAGGAAGCACCACCTACAAGAAATCCATCAATATCTTCTTGTTTTGCAAGATCAGCACAGTTGCTTCCATTAACAGAACCTGCAAAAAGATAGTCAGTAGTCTAATAATATAAAAAAAAAAAAGTATTCAACCATCAAAAATATTCTGAAGCATCTGGAAAGCTCATGTCCGCTGGAGCAGAAACAAAGACAAGGACGACAAGGTCAATTGAATTCCTGACCCACAGCATTCTTTGAGATCATATACAGCAATAGTTAATCAAGCTGCACAGGAACAATAGCTTCTACTTTTCTTTTTGGTTCTTTTTTTTTTTGTCGGGGAGGGGGGAGTGAGAGATAGAGAGAGAGAGAGATTAGACCTCCATAGATAATTCTTGTTTTAGAAGCAACTTCAGCTGAAACATTCTTACTAAGCCAATCGCGAACAGCTACATGCACTTCCTGTGCTTGCTGAGGTGTGGCCACTTTACCAGTTCCAATAGCCCATACAGGCTCATAGGCAATAACAACATCATCCCAGCTTGGTACAGCATCTGCAATATCATGATTTATATGTGACATTAAAATTGATAACCATGTTTTCTTTTTTGATAGTCCATCTCCCACTTAAACATTTACTCATGAGAGAGATAGAGGGAAGGAGGGAGGTGGGAAGAAGAAGGGGGTGCAAAGGAAAAGGTTTATGGAAGATGAGTTAACAGCTTGCCTGCCAAAGCCTTCAGTTGCTTATAACAGACATCAAAAGTTTTTCCTTCTTCCCTTTGTTGCAAAAGCTCTCCAATGCAGGCTATCACTCCAAGACCTTGGCCCAAGGCATAAGCAGCCTTCTTTCCTATAAACTGCATGATAAGGGGTTCGTCAGTTTTAAGAATTCCTTGTTTCATTTTTATTATAATTCTCTACTTATTTACTGGTAAATTAGAAAGATTTTCAAAGCACAAACTGCAAATCGACTAGCGAGAAGAAAACAGGTTAAAAAGTAGTAAAATCTGGAAGACTCTTACTTCATCATCTTCTCCAATTATATGCCTTCGCTCAGAATGCCCAAGAATGACCCATTTGCATCCAATATCTTTCAATTGTTCCCCACTATGAAACAAAAATGAAAATTAAGATTATTTCAGTCATTTGTTAAGGCATTGAAATAGCCACAAACCAATCAACAATTAAAATGATCAATAAGCTGAACTCAGACTATTAAGCCAGTCAGCAATTGAAAACCCAAGGAAGTAGTCCTATTGAAAGAGCAAACTCTGTCTAAAGAATGTTGGCCTAAAAGCTTGTAAAGATCTATTAATATACAGTTAACTCAAGATAAAACTTCTGCATAATCCATTCACTGCAAGAAAGAATTTTGAGCTAGAATGAAAAAATGCTGTAAGGTTCTCTCTCTCTCTCTCTCTCACCCTTTCCATCCCTCCCTCTCTCTCTAATGCATTTCAAACCAGTGGAGGTTAAATGGCAAATGGGGACAATCACAGACACCTGCCATATTTAGAATGGGATGGAGCTATCCCTGATTTTTCTTGCTTCCATATACTTGCATAATCGTGTATCTCTCTTCTATATTCTGCAATCTAGCAAAAGTTACTAACCACTAAGCAAGTCCCAACTTCATCACAACATCTAAAACTCACAAATTTTGCCAAATTGAACACCCTTGTATGCATTTGAACTTATCAGATTCGAATCCCCATTGCCATGCAAACCTTGTAATGTCAAAGTCAAACCAACTAATCACCTCTAAGCATAAGACCTACGTAATCACCAGTGAAGTGGCAAGCTGGTATAATTGGGAGTCAAGGTAACAAAATCAGAGACAAGTGAGCTACAACATGCCCACCTATCCAAATCGCCTCACTTCTCCCTAATACTCATTCTCCAACTTCTGAAACACAAGAATGCAGGCAACTGATATTTTGGTCCCACTAAACTAATCTCACCAGATTTACCACAAGTTTAATGAAAAAATAGTACAATACGCATATAACCTCACCTGATTTCCCCAGTAAAAGCTCCACCTTTCCCTATCCAACAATTTTGAGCAGAAACTTCGATGCGATCGGTTAATGAGCTCTTTACTTGATCAATGTATATAAATGGAGGTGCCACAACAACATCTGGATTTCAAAGAGCCAAAATAAATCTAGTAATGTGGCATTCAAAGCTGAAGAGCTGCTGAATACGATTTAGATTAGCAAATAACTAAGACAAAGTAGTTTAGCGCCTCAAATGTGGCAAGATAAGATGCACAATTGGCAATTAAACAGAAAAGTATAGCCTCCAAATCGTAGCCACCCAGGCGTAAAAATAATGCAAGGCACTGCTCTAAATTCTACAAGCTTTCAAACAGACTTATAGATGGAAATAGTATTATATTCAAGGTTTGCTAGTCATAGCATCAACATATACGGCTAACCACTAAGCTAAGGTACATCTTACTCGGGGAAGAAAATGTAACTGAGACTGGATTATCCCTAGAAGATGCTTGCTAGAAATCTGTAGACATGTCACAACTAAAAACTTTTACCAATTACAACAATTTCATTCCAACCTCAATGACATAACTAGTATAAAAGACTACTTTGGGGTTATTTGACAAAGAACAGTAATCTCCCACCAAGGGGTTCCCTATTCGCTAAAAAAAGACCAATCCAAGGGAGCCCGAAGGAAGAAGAATGACTATCGCTGTGTGATAAGGGAAAGGCACGAACTTGTGTGGTGTCCATTCATTCAATTCACATCGGTATGGGGCACATTGAGGCACTCTCCTGCACTCGGGACAAAGTGACTTGCTATTGCTATATTGAAAGCATATTGTGGACAACTCACCAACATCAGACTCCAGCATTGCACTATTTAAATCAGAGATAAGCTTGCCGATGGACTCCTTTGTTCCATTCTGAGCAAAACATGCAATAAGAAGTCAATAAAGAACAAAGCTAAAGCATGAAAAAACTCAATCCTTTGCTAAATAGTGTGCTCTATCTAGTCAAAGTTATCCAGAACTATCAGAAATGGAGAAAGAGGGGTAAAAGGAGATCAACATATTCAGCAAATATGTTGTCTTATAATGTCATTATGTGCCAAAAATATGCTACTTACTTAATTAGACAAAAGAAATCACATTTTCATAGAGCACAAAACCCATATTCTAGATCATATATATCAAACTACACCAGCAGTGAGCATTTCACGCTGCGAAAAAGCATAAGAACAAGCTTGCCCCCATCCCCACCTTGTGAGTGAAAAAACTAACAATAAAAGCATGAATACCACAGGCTAGTTAGCAATGAGCATAAACTTACGAATATCAGTATCCTGGGACTATTTTTGGATGGTTAATCAAGCATTAAATACAGCTATTTTGCTGAGAAAGATAACAGGCAAGACATAAGCAAGTGCAGTGAAAGATAAGCTAAACTACTGAAATTAATAACCGTGACTTATTAGTTTTTTCTTGTTACATCAAATAGTCATTACTGTCCATTTAGTACCTTGGATTCTCAGTCCCTGTAATTTATAATTTACAAGTGTTGCCTTCTAGTGGTATAATTATTATTTTATTGGCACCTTTAGAAGTCCAAGAACCCCCATCACCTTTTGGTCAGGAGCCGGACCTACTTTGCTAAAATTGTTAAAGTTCTTAATTATGAACACTGGACATTTAAAGAGTCAACTGAGCAAAGAGGAAATAAATACACAGTTCAAGTATAAGTACCTGTATGATGAATGATCTTATGAAAATAAGAACTCAAAGAAGAAAAAGAAAAGGACACTTACACACTTCCAGTTTCCACCAACAAAGAACTGCAAGAAGAACCAAAAGACTCTGGTTAATACACTCTTTAAAGCTCATATATTCTCATGTCACACTGATCATCAGAAGATGAATAGTTTCTCAGAAAGCAAGTGATCAAGTAGAACCAGAAAGAGTGAAATAATGAAATAAGTTTTACAAACTGAAGTACATTAAGGAAAAGCATAATATTCGGAAAATGAACCATCAGAATTAACCAGGACCGGAAAAACAAAAAAGAAAATCTCCCAGATTCAGAGCACAATGACATTCAAGAACAGCCAAGAAGCATCATCCAAAACCAAACTGAATCATCATGACTAACATACTCTAGCAAAAAGGTGGGAGAGAGAGAGATGGCGTAGAGGCGTGGATTGCTTCGGCTTGGCTAAAAGAAGAAAGTGGAGTAACCAATGACACCATTCTCATTTCTCAGTATGCCAATAAACTTATGAAAGAAATGTCATAATGTATCACTGTGCGGTAAGCATCATGATCTTGTCGAACAATTTGAGCTTTTAGAGATTCGCATTTCATTGAAGACTTACGAATAAAGTAGTACAAGGTCTAATTCTTACCATCCGGAGCCTTTTCTTTTTCCTCTTTTTTTTTTTAGTTTGGTTTTGAGGGAGGGGACAAGAAATAAAGGTATCAAATTGAAGTCCAGTTTACTTCATCACTGTTCAACCACCCAATGACTAGAGTCATTAAATCCAATGCCTCATTACATTTTCATAATAAATTAGCATAAATCCTTAAACTATAATTAAGAGTCCAGAACTACCCCAATGAATTTCAAAGGAATAAATCTGTCATCTCATGGAACCCAATATTTATAGGCTGGCAACAGTAACAACAGTCAGTCACAGAAGTCAAGTTTACAAAAAAAAATAATAACAATAATAATAAAAGACTAGAATAAAAAGGATGAAAAAGAAATAACCTTTCCGGAGCCGGCCATTGCAACGACAGGCCGGCAAGCTTTATTGCGGGGGGAAGAAGAAGAAAGGCGGAGATGAGAGTCCAAATTTTGGAAGAAAGATTGAGCAGTGGAAATGGAAAGAGGTGGCGAATCGAGCTTGGGACAAGAAGAACGGCGGAGGCCGGAGAATTGGGGGCAAGCCAGAGATGTGGAAGCCACAGCCATTATTGTTGTTACTCTCTGTTACTACGCCTTGGCCAACTAAAAGTTTTACTCGTCGTCAAGCAGAAGTGAGCAGAGAGAACAGAGCAGATAATTTTTTAAGATTGGGAGAAAGCCTCCTCTCAGTCAGTCCCTCGACATGTGGCGATGTATTTTACTGGTACGGAGTTGTTGGCTGCTTCTCTCTCATCCCACGCTTGCTGTCGCCGCGTGCATTACACAATCAATGGTCCACCTAACCTCAAGAGTCAAGATAATGCCTTGGGCTTTTTCAAAAAATTCCTTTTTTTTTTCAAGCCTTGAAATTTACAGTCAGTGGATTTAAGTCCAATTACCATTGCTTATACTCCCTCCGTCCCGTTTTATTAGTCTTGGTTTTTTTTTCACACAGATTAAGAAAATGTAATTAATTTGGTTGGAAACATAAATTTAGATTAATAATTTCCTAAAATACCCTTATGCTAATCACGAAGAGTGCATTGGAAAACCTCAATGTATTCAATGTAGTGAGTTAGTATTTAATAACAATGTATTAATAACAAGATATTTAATAAGGGTATTTTAGACAATTTGAAAGATTACTACATTCCTTAATGGGGAAGTGGACTACAATTTGGGACGGATGAAAAAGGAAAACAAGACTATAAAAGTAGGACGGAGGGAGTAATTCATTTGCAATTCATATGTATTTTTTAATATAAATTTTGCAATTTATGACTTAAATTCTATGAATTCCAAATGGTTTCTTTAATGGTAACCTATGGTTAATATCTATGTTTGGATAGAAAATTATTTCAAATAATTATTATATCATTTTTTTTGGAATGGGATGTATGCAAATAAACTGATTAAAAAGATGCAAAGATAATTTTTTTTTTCAAATGATAACAGAAAGTTAAAAAATTAATTAGAAATTGTGTTTTTTATACAAACAAAATATTTAATTGAGCAAGCTTGGATAGCAACATTTGTTCTAAATATTATTTTACTTACATCACAATTATGATTTTTAATCAATTTTTTATATTTTTAATAAAATTTTTATTTTACATACATCACATTACAAAAAATTACTATAATAATCATTTCAAATAATTTCTCGTCCAAACATACCCGTCCGTTGAAAGATGAAAATTTGTCCGTAGCAGCCATTTTTTGTATCTATATCTCCTCCATTAAAAGATGGAAAAAAAAAAAAAGGAAAGGAAGGAATTGCACGCGCGGCTACGTTTGTATCTCCTATTTATGTCCTGCCTTACTTTCTCACCCACACCAACCAACAATGAAAACTACACCATATTTATTTATATTTTTCCCCCATCAGAATGGCTCACCGAATAGCAAATACCACTCACTATGACGTCGGCACATCCTATGGTGTCAGTTGTACCGTAACAAATCCAAATGACCATTACGCTGCAGCACGTTCTTTGCCAGCACTCCTTAAAAAAAAGACGAAAAGGGGTCAAATAGCACTCCATTCTCCCTTCAAAAGCAGAAAAAGAACTGGAGCGCTAGAAATGTAGTGGGCATGGCCAATGGTAACGACTCTGAAGTGAAAATTTGGTCGTGCCACATTCACATAGGAGCAGTGAAGAGTCGCATAACTTTCATCACTGACTGACTTCCTACTCGGCTAACTTCACTGCATTTGTATTCTCCTGACTTCTACTCGGCTAACTTCAGTGTGGTGCCCCCATTCATTCATCAACAAGTCCATTCACCGAAACTTGATCAGCCTTGAAGTCAGTAAAATCTTTATCTAATCCTTAAAACATAAAATTTACACAAAGCTGTACAACAAGAAAGAAGGAATGCGTGATAACAGGTCAAAAAATATAAAGCAAAGCTTACATAGATCACCTCTGAAATTACTTTTCCAGATGCTGGCTCCATTATAATCCACGTCCTGTGGAAGCACTAACCTACTTATGGAGAGGAACTACACCATATTTACACTTGGACTCGTCCTCTGGTATCCAGCTGAAGTCCGCCGCAGCTGCTGCACACCAGAGTAGAAGAATGCCACCAGCAGTTGACAAAGGTTAACTCAGAGTGATTAAGAGAGGAGAATGAATTTGAAATAACCAGGTTCAGGTTTCCTCCTTCACTCATCTGTTTTTGTGCCACCAACTACACTACTTGACGAAGCAGCCTGTACACTGTGAGATGATGAACACCTGCTTGAAGAACTTCCTTCCGTAATGTTACTCTCCTTCCTAGATGATCTTTTGGCTTTTCTTTGTCCAGGTGAAACATCCTGCACAAGGTTGTTCAGCCATGTCAAATTCTCTTCATTATTTTACCTAAAAGACCTTCTTGACAGAGTAGAATAAACCCTGTATTTTAACCTGTTCTACTGTAGACCCAGGGGTCTTGAGCTCAAGGTCAGTTGCAACATCATCTGAAGTCTCGCTTTTTTCACTTCTGCTATCCTTCTGATTGCATGCTTTGGGTCTAGAATCTTGCCTGCTTGAAGTATGGGATCTGCTACCAGGCTGTGTTACTTGAGAAACATGTTGTGTTGATTGCTGTTCAATAATGCTATTAGGAGCCATATATGGAACAAAAGTTGACACAGGACTTGGAACAACCGCAGCATTCTGATTCCCATATAGTGGGAATGGCTGCAAAGATGGATGCATGGGAATTGGACCAGCAGGTATCGGCATGGGCAATGGAAAAGGATAAGAAGCTGGGTGCATAACAACAGAATGATCCATGCCTGCCCACGGATACATAGCTCTCACTCTCTGCTGATGTTGTGCATTAAGGCTCTCAATATCTGACTTAAGAGATGCCTTCTCTTCTCGAAGATCATTTTTCTCCTGAGTCAACTGCTTGGAAATGGAAGTATTCAGTAAAACAGTCCTCACCGGGCCGTGAGGAGAAGAAAAGAAAGGGGAAAAAAGGGGATGAGTAGCTAGAACAATCACCTCACGAGATTCTTCGTTAAGTGCAGCATGTTCAGCTTTTAATTTGTCAATCTGAGCAGTCAATTCCTTCACCATTTGGATAGCATCAGTGAGGATAGATGCTTTGTCATTTTTTGGCCTATCAGGATCTGCAAACTCGTTAAACACATCTAATGAGAAAAAAATCACATGAAACTTACTACAGGTAAATAAGTTACTTGAACCAAACAAAAAAGGGATATAGGTTCAACCATATGTACAGAACTAATAAGTTTCTTGACAAAGTTTTGCGGTTGAAATCAAACTTCATAATCAGCCCAAGTTACAGATGTTTGGGAAACACCAGTGACAACACTACATAACAACAAGCTACTTTCATGATCATACCGGCTGAAAATTGAATATATAAAATCTCTTGGTTGTTTCAAGTAATACCAGAAATTACGATTTTGTCTATTCAAGGAGGGTTTATAGGGGTGCAGGATTAAACATCGTCATACAGTTGTCTAGTTGCTCTACAAAACTAAACAGAAAGCACATGAGACATCAACTATAGTAGAGTGCAAATCGTTTTCCAGTATTAAGGTAATGAGGAGAGGGAACAAGCGTTAAAAGATCCATGACATGAATGTCCCACAACTGGTCCCCACTTCTGCTATGAAGTCAAGCAGTCATTTAATGCTTAATGTTTAACAGTAACTAGCATACTAAATTTAAAAAAAAAAAAAGAAGTCCACTGGGGATTGCTATGAGAATATCCGGTGGCAATGTGCCTCCAGATGTGATAATTTTAGACCATGTCACGAATGAGATTTGACCAGAGAAAAAATCCACTAAAGTGGTGAATCTTCAGAAGGATTTGGTTAAACAATTCCTTACAAATGGGGCAAACTCTTTATAAGTCAAAGAAAAAGAAATTCAAGTAATGAGAAAATTGCATAAGATTCTGCGAGTAAAGCAAGGTACAGAAGAAGAGATATGAACCCACTCACAATATACATTTCTGGGATACTATTTTCATTATAATGAGTTCCAGGATAAGATGTTCAACGGATTTCATAGAAAGCAGAATGCATTAGTTGCCACGTTACCAAGCTAATTCAAAACTTTTGGGCTTACCAAGGGTATTTCCCAACTCAGCAAACTGCTCATTTAAGCGATCCCTCCGTAGCTTCTCACGGTCAGCTTTTTGAACTTTCCTTGTGGCAATGGAGTCCTTTGGCACTGCTTCTGGCCTTCAAGTGACGACCCAGGCAATAAGGAGAATAAGGACATAAAAAGACAGAGAGATAGAGAGAGAGAGGGGGGAGGTGAGAGAGAAGGGCCAGTAAAATATATATGAAAAATTTAATGTTTCAAAAACAATTTTATCCAGCAGAGATATATACTCTTGTGTATAAAGGGTTATCAAGTTTCATCTATCAAAGACCCAAGCTATATGACCTGTTATACCATTTTTGCGAATCGATACTATGCCAACTGGATGCTAGATATTCATCTTATGAATGGGTAAACACAGTACATTTAGCAGAGAACTAAAATACACAAAAGACCTATGTTTCACAAGGCAGGAAATAAATCTCTCTCTCTATGTAAGTCTGGCAGAGATTCGATTTTGAAAGACTGATAAATTGACTTGTATTTAACAATCACCATCCATCCTCAACAACACACTCGAGACTCAAAGAAAAAGTGCTCTATTCTCAAACTAAGCTACATTGATCCATGGCATTTACAGAATAAATCAGCAAAATTTCAATGAAATCATGAATTCTACTGCACCTAATACAAGAGGATGATGGCGGAAAAATATGTTGACCATTGTAAAGCAGCATATTTATTGCCATGTAAGAAAATACTATACCCAAGAAACAGATTATTACTTGTGCAAGCATGACAAGAGAAGGAAAATGATTGTGCCTCTATAAGACAAGAAAATTGATGTGTGGCCCTATTTGTAATTTTTTTTTTGCTCCGACATTTGGCTACGCCACACAAAAAAGTGCTATACAGGCACGCTGACACCATAAATTAGAGAAGCTTCATATTTCTAGTATTACAAGAACCTTCCTTGTTTATGAGTCCAGAAGTGGTGAAGTTGTCTGCAAAAGTAATGCTCAGGATTTATCAAAGGGAAAATGGAAAGGAGTAGATCCTTTGACCTCAGCTACAATTTCCATATAGTTTGTGAGCTCCATAGGACAAGCAATCATCACCACACAAATAATCCTGCTGTTTTAAGCTTAATCCTTATTTCTAACGTGGACTACCAGTCGTGTGCAAATAAGAGGTTATTCACTTATTTGAAGTGTCTCAAGGGTGGTAATAAGGTTTTCCCACAACTCGAACATAAGCTGTTGAGGTATTGAATGTCAAATACTATATCAGCCAAGGATGCACAAATTTATATGATAAACATGTAATTTTAGTGTTTCTCATTTTTGGTTGTCAATGGGGTAGACGTGAGTGTTATTACTTGACAACAGCTAATTGAGTTTCAACAGTTTTCAGCATTCGCTTCCTTTAACCTCAGTAAATGCCTGACACGATTTTGTGTATTCCTTTTCAGATAATTCTTCAACGAAAGTCAAAAGCAATTATCTTGTTGCATCTACCACTTCAACTTCCACACGCTAGTAAGCAATGCAGTAAAACTTAACCAGAACTTCATTTAACTCATCAGATTTTCAATCATCTGCTTTCTTTACATTCAGATAACAAATATACACACTGGATCACTTTCCAATATTAAGCATTTCCATCCTACAAATTACACTGCATTTACCAGTCAGAGAAGCTTTGTATACTCAATAACAGAAATCCTCATTCACAGTAAAGGTTTCTACACAATTTTAAACCTAAAAACTTGTACCCTCTTTTCCTTGAAAAGCAACCACAATCATACACTCCCTGATAATTCCAGCTAATGATTTCTCTTTCTAAAAACTAGTTAAATTTATGGGTAGCTTGTAACATAACCTCTCAGAATAAATTTACCCAAGATACACCCATTTGCCCACTTTAATAGGGCAGCATCATATAGCATCAAAATTTTGAACTTGTTCCACATGCTTTTCCTAACCAATTAACACCCCCCATTTTAACTTAAACCCTAGCACACAGTTCACAAGTTAAGGCGTCAGGATCAAATAAATCAGGACAAACAATCCCAGCTAAACCTGGAAAGCAAAAAACCACCAGGGAAGCAAAACCCAATCTCATAAATACAACTTGCATGCAAAAGTTGAGAATCTGGAATTGCAGGAGAAAGGGACGGGGGCAAAACCTGGAGTCAAGATTGGGGCGATTAGAAGACAAGTGCATATCAGGCGGAGGCTGTCCAAACTCGGGAAGCGGGGGATTTGGGGGCTGAACTTGTTGATGATGATAAACAGTTTCCTGATGATTAAATTGATCCATTTTTTTACCCTGTAACTAGGCCCTGACCTCGCAAATTGCAATGGAGACGAAGACTTCTTTGCTTCTCCTCCTCCGCTAGCTAAGGCCTAAGAGCCCAACAGCTAGTTTGGGAGTTGAGGATAGAAAAGGAAATAAAAGAAAGCCTATGAGAGAAAGTGATGGATAAGAAAAGGGGTTTTAACGTTTGAGAGTTTATGAAATAAATAAATGAAATAATCTTGAATATATTAGTTAATAAATTTTTATTCAATAGCTTTTTTAAGGATAGATTGGATAGTTTTAAAAAAAAAAAAAACTTTTTTATGTTCAATTTTGGATGGAAAACTTTTTTACTATAAATTTCCTTCCTTTTCTGTTCAATTTTGGATGGAAATTTTTTTACCCCCGGCGCATCCTCCAAAATCAATTGGGAAGACTTATTACTTTCTCTTCCTTTTTATTTTTTTCTCTACTCAAATCTCATCTCCCAATCTAGTGGACTACCGCTAGTATATAATAATATAATGTTATTTTCCTTCCTTTTTTTTTTTTTTGTATATAATGAATTTCATAGGTGGATAGCTAAAGAAATACAAGACCCAGCTTGAAATGATATCAAAAGGTTTGCTGGCAATGAAATATCACAAACACACCACGTTTTTGTTTCGAAGCTGGAGATAAAATTATTTGAGATATTTTTACTATATTAATTTTTATGATGTGATGTATGTGAAATAAAAAAATAATTAAAAAGATAAAAAGATGTGTTGGAAATTGTAACGATGATGTAAGCAAATAAATTTTGACAAATAATCCTCTATCCAAACAAACCCACGTGTTGAACTTCAATCCCACAAGTAAGGACTAAAAATGTGCTAATAATCCTCTCATGGAATTGATAATTTTTTTTTCTAAAATAAGATGGTAAAAAAGGAGAAAGAAGCAATCCAAATAAATTAGCAACTTAATAGTAATTATAAAAATTATCAAGAATAATGGTGCTAATTTAAAAACAAAATTAAATAGAATAGAATTTGAGAATAGCAACTCTAATTCCTGAATCTAAACATTATATATATATATAATATTAGACAAAGCCTGGTTCCCAAATTCCAAGCCTACTTCAACTCCACTCTCCCAAACTCTCTAGGGATCCAAACACAATAACTAAAACTCCTGCAATAACATCAATCATTAAATGGAGAGTGATAAAAAAAACTAATAAGCGATTAGAGAGAGAAAAAAGAAAAAAGAGAAAAAAAAAAAGAGGGCATAAAAAAGGTGCAAGGGAAAGGGGGCAAAGTTGCCTCAGCATTGACGTCTTTTGGTTGTTGGTTTTCTGTCTCCGGCCTCGAGTTAGAGAGAGCTCCCAGTTTCCCAAAACTCCCCAATTCCTCATCTCCGCTCCAGTTTTCACCCAAAAACAGAGCCCAGACCCCAACCCGAACCGAAACCCAGTCATTCCCCCCCTTCGTGCATTTTTCTGGAAGTCTATCTGTACCCTTTGTGCTCTCTCTCTCTCTCTCCCCTCTTCATTTACCGAGGCGAGAATGTCGATTAGGGTTTTCTTCGTCCTCGCGCTGCTCGTATTTTCCTCCTCTTTCCTCCAAGGTTTGCTTACGATCGTAGATCTGGATTCATTTTCGATTATATGTACGAATGATTTGTACTTGACAAGTGTAGCTCGGAAAGTTCAATTTTCTAATGCTTAATTTGACTTGTATCGATACCTCTGCATGCGGAATAATGAGTTCGATGCTTGGATTTTTTAATTGCTATACATTATCTGGGCTTTTCATCCGTCCAACTCACATTCGATCCGAATTCGGATTCAAATTCTACCACGCAATTCGTTCATGTATAGAATGATAGTTACTACTGCATAAGTTTCCCTTGTCATGCATGTGATTTAGGTCTCTTTCATATGTTGCTCGGTCAACGCCTGTGTTGATTTGAGGTTAAACGCTGCCTGAATGAATTGCTTCTCTCTTTTTAAACAATATGCTATGTAGTCTTTTAGGCAGAGGCTATATTTCATTCAAGTGGCGATCGTTGTAGTTATTCCGTTTAATTGATACGAAATCTGTTGCTCCTTTACTGTGGTGTACAGTTGAAAGGGGCAATTGTCAATTTCAAATAGGCAGAAACTTTTCTATTACTGATGAGGATGCTGCTCGACTGTTTCGTTAATAACTCTGCCTGGTCCCTGGAGAGAATTTCCGGGAAAATTGATTTATTTGATTCTGCTTCTGCTTAGCTCTGCCAAGCTTATTGCTATGGATTCTCTGTACTTATTTTGCTAGCAATGATATAGGGAATTACCATGCATACAATTTAAGTGAGTTTTCATTGAATTTGTATCTGTAACAAGTTGCGACTGAGGTTCATTAGCTGTTTTTTCACTTGATAGTTGTTAGGGGTGAACCGGATGCAGATGCTGAAATAGTTGAAGGTTCTGAGGAAGTGAGTGATCTTGGTATCGTCGGTGATGATGTCCAAGATATTGGTGGTGGGAGTTTTGGTCCAGCTCCTGGGGTGGAGACTATCTGTGTTTTCCCGAAAAATCCTTCTAAATGTAAGTAACAACTCCTTTTTGATTTGTAATTATGAGTGCATGTAATCTCACCTCTTTGTTGTATTACAATGTGCATTCTCTTTCCTCCAAAATGGAACTTTGATATGCTGTTTGCCCCTTTTCAGTGGTTACTGCTGGTGAAGAAGGTGAACTTTTAGTTGGTGTTAAGAATGATGGTAAGCTTGCTATTTGGTAGTACACCGTTTCTTTTAAAAGTATCAAGCTTGGTGGATGATTTTGTTATTGTGTTTCAGTTTTGCAACCTCTTTTGATTGAAATGGTTTTTTTTGGATCATCTAAGTTCTTATATGTCTCTTGTAGTACAGTTCTTTAGTTATATGTATCTGTTGTTATTCTGTGGGTCTTTCTCTGATAATAATGATTGAAACAGGAGAATCAAGTCTGAATATCATTGCAATCCATGCTAGTGTTCATCTTCCATATGATCATAAGTATCTGATTCAGAATATCTCTAGTCAGGTAAGTGGTGTATGCTTGCTGCTTGATTCAGTTGATTCCCTGACTGGATAATTGCTATCTGTATTGATAAATAAAATTAACAGCCTTCTACCACACTGAGTTTGCTGTCACTTTGTAAAGCTCTGCGGTTTGAATTCTTACTGTGTGGTTTGTTCAAATTGACTAGACTACTTGATGAAAATCTAGTTGTGCTTTGTGATACAAAGAGGACTGGAAAACAATTATCGAGCTTATCCAGCTTTTTGTGTTGGGACTATAACATTTGTAGGAGGCAAAATTTTTTTACACTGTGACCTGGGTTAGGTTGTTTTGCACATATAGAGACATGTGTTGGCTATGTTATGGATTAAAGCACGGAGCTCAGAGTTGTATGAGTTAACATAACAATGTTACCCGTTGTTTCTATGGAAATTGCTATCACGTTGTGATTCTGTCTTAGAGATGATTTTAGGAGTCACTGCAGGGGAGAACAAATGGTACTGTTGTTTCTTCACAGTTTGTGGAATCTTAAAGTAATCTTGTCACAAGCTTTGTGTGCAATCTAGTTCATTATCTCAAAATATTTGCAATTTGTGTTATATTCAAGTAAATTCTGTCACAAGTTTTGTGTGCAATCTAGAGGGCTCAATCATGAATCCTGCTTTCTTGTAGTGATATGAATATCATATATGGTGTTTTTTGATAATTTATGGTTTCTTGTGCCTTGTCATGCCTTAAAGTCTTGTATCAATATAATTATTTTCTTGGAGTCTGCAATCATGGAAGGGTGGATCTCATTATTAGGGGGCCAAGTTTTGTAATTTTTCAAGAGGCGTAGTAGTTGCTTTTTTAACTTTTTAACAATTCATTTGCCGGCTATTGATGTGAGATGAAGCACAGCTTGGTGTGCATTGAATTTGAAAATACCTGCCATAACAATACTTTTAATGTGTTTGTTTCCCTCATAACCTTGAAAATTGAGGTGATTGCTGTTGCAATGATTAAGGATTTTACTCTGAATTAGGTTTGACTGCAGAACTTTGTGTTTATAATATTTATGAGCTCTCAGTGCTCTAGATGAGTAAATGCTACTTTATCTTTCAAAGTCCTTAAATCTTTTGGAATTAGAATTTCAACTGTTTCTTGGACTTCACATGTTAGTTACCAAGTTTTCTGACTGAGGATGTAACAACATAATTTTGTTGTCTCTCTAGGCTTTTACCAATGCCTCTGTCCCTCCTGCTGCTCAAGCCACATTCCCATACATATTCGCTGTCAGCAAATTTTTGCAGGTTAGGTTAATTACTTGCAGCTAATATAGTTTTCTTGATTTGTTTTCATAACATCTTCCATTTACTTTACTACTTAAATCGATAAAATTCATTGCAAAGGCTGCTTTACTTATTATACTTTTCTATTTTGCAGGCTGGAGCATTTGATCTTGTGGGCACAATTGTCTATGAAATAGATCAACATCCCTATCAAAGTACCTTCTACAATGGTACTATTGAAGTAACTGAGGCTGGTGGTCCTCTGAGCGTGGAATCTGTTTTCTTAGTTTCTCTTGCAATTGCTTTTGTTGGCTTTGCAGTATTTTGGATACGGAATCAGATACAACATTGGTCAAAGGTGAGTTGACCTTTTTCCTTTCAGATACAACAGTAGCCAAAGGTTGTGGTAATCTGGATGATTTAAAATGTAAGATAATTCTTAGAAGCTGAACAGAAAGTATCTTGGCATTTCTTATAAAATCTGTTAGTGGCTGTGTTTGCACTGGATATCTTGGGGAGATGATTAATGTTTTAAGTTACTGCCTTGGATTGGGGCTTCTTGTTATTGAATGCATCTCAATAATCAGATGCCTAATATTAGTAACTCTTTAGATTGAGAAGGAATGGTTCTAGTCAACTTCATTTATTGATACTTTCCTGTATTCTCTTCTTTCTTGGGATCTAAAAGTAATATTTGTTCCCATTACTAGGAAGTAGAGCATTGTTTTGTTTTCGAGAGAAAAAAAAGGATATCTAATGCATTGTCTGATTCATTGACATTTCTATAGACATTGACCTGCTTCTTGTCTGGTATAGCACGCTTCTTGTCTGGTATAGCACGTGAAACTAGCATCACATAGCTGCAATCTACAGAATGTGTCAGGAAAACCTATAGTCAAATTTCTTATTGTCTAACCAAGAGAGGGAAGAGCATATGACAATGTCATAAGAAGAGTTGTGATTACTTTGCATTTAATGTTTTATCCCCTTCCAATTGTTCCATATGACAGGAAAAGTAGAAGTTAATAAGACAATAGCTCATCTGTTAGACTTTTCTGAAAGGGTTAATTTCAATTGATCATAGGTCGTTAAGTGTTATCTGCATTTGCCTGCCCTCCTTTCCCTTTACTTGTTTTCACTCCCCTATTTATTTCTCTTTATCAGAAAAGCAAGAGGGCGCCAAAGGTGGAGGTTGGAACTGGTACAACTGATGCCTCTATGGATGAGTGGCTGGAGGTTTGTAGTTTGTGCACTGTGGCCATCCAAAGTTTTTAACTGAGGAATATTTTTTTACCTTCTAGATACCTTTTCGAGGAGTAATTTATGAAATATCTTCATTAAATTGCCCACGCTTTTTCTCACAGGGAACTGCTTATAGTCAGTCTCAATCCAGCAAATTAAAGAAGAAGAAGTAGATAAACCTTGCTGAGGTCACTTGCCCTTCAGGAGAGTTTTGACAAGGCCATAGTTCTTGTAACACAGCTTAGGCATCTTTGATAGTGAAGGAGCCCCAGAAGGTGGAATGTTCTTTTGGAATTAAACTTGAGAACGACTTATTGCCTCACTGTTGTAGGAGGAGGAAGAAAACTCATTTTGTTAAATTAAGAGATTTTGAAAGCTGAGCCTTTCTTAATGCCAAATTAGTTGAGAATTGATCAGGTAAAAAAACAAAAACAATTTTGTGAAACACGGATTTTTCCTTAAAAAGGTATGTTCATGTTCATCTTGCTGTTTCATGGATGGTACTACAAGTTGGGAGTTGGGACCAGTCTGCCAGAGCGAATTTTCCCATTACAACTGTGTCCTTATTGGTGGCGTCTTGTCTGCTGGGCCGATCAAACGCCCCAAGCAGGCCAGACGAGTCCACAAATTGAGCATATCTATGGTCGAATGGCTGCATGATTTTATTTCCTTTTTTTTAATTTTTTGAGAAGAGGAGGACCGCTCCCTTTGTGTGTTTTGTGGGTGGGTTCCGTGACAGCGGTATGACTATGATATTGAAGATTGTGAACAGTGTTGCTCCTGGGCTGAAAAATCTGTGTTGTCTGCCCACTTATTATAGTAATTAAAGAGTTGTTTGTTGGCATTGACAAGAATCGGAGGGCGATGGTTTTGGACGGATGTGATTTTTGAAAGTACCCGACAGAAAATAAGCATGATGGCATATGTTAATAAAACTGAGTATTAGCTCAAGTAATCTGAGAAGTGTCACTGTTGGGACTGATTTGCTCGATAGAATAGAAGAAACTGTCTTACGTTAAATTATCTCAAAATTTTAGGGTGAACACTGGAAACTGTAAATTCTGAAACCGACATTCCAGCACTGGATTCTGATGCGCTTGGAGAAAAGGACATGGAGAAAGTGATAATGTCCACTGTCAAGGGATTTATATTTCTGTCCCAGAGGGCAACTGCAGTAAAGCAGGTCGTAAAAATGACAGCGGCTGATGATTTTTCCAGTTGTAACCGATAGCGTCTGTTGTCTTTTCTTCTTCTCTTGAAAAGAAAGAAGGATTCTTGGATGTCAACTAACCCTAAAATTGAATTCGAAGTCATTTACAAACTTCGATAGAGAATAAGACTGCAACTTTCAGTGTTGGAAAAGGCACACTCTGTGTGGGTACCTCGTCTTTTCTTTAAACTTGTGCATAATTGGTATTAGTTTTTAATAACCACAATTTGTGAGTTATTAATTGCAACTTTGCTGAAGTATATAATTGGTATGTATTAATCCCTTGTAGTGTTGTTAATATTTGATTCTACAATTACAGGTTACGTACGATTGGCTTGCCGCTTCCACTGATATGCATATGAAGATGAATGAATAAATTAGCAGTATGCACTCACTACATTAGTGGCTACAGAGCTTCCTGCATTATGAGGACTTTAACAAATCCAAAGCACATATCGCAGATATTTGCCCCGGACATTAATGCCGCAGAGACTATTATCTGTCACTATTGAGGGGCTGGTTAAAGGAACACCAAAATCAAGTCAAGATGCGGGTTCATTTCATACACACTAAAGAAACAGAAAACGCAATAATAAATTGACCGTCTTAAGCTGCACTCCCAATATATATATATATTTTAAGTACTACTAATTCGCTCGGTTTGAGCTTTCTTTTCTTCATTGGGCCCACTTCTGGTCAGCAAAACAGTCAGATTGTTGATTCATTTACATTAAATGGACCGAATCTTCTGGTTAAGTGTCGCTTAACTTAGATGAGGTGATTTAAACTGGCGTACCAGAAAGCAACCAAAACCCATTCTAACCTGATTTCTTCTCTACTTCATGCAAGTCCTTTTCGTTTACCAGTTTTTCTTTCTTTTGTTTTATGTTCTTTACATGTACTCCCTCCGTCCCACCTTAATAGTTCGGTCTCTTTTTTCACACAGTTTAAGAAAAAGTAGTTAATTTTATTAGAAAAATAAATTTAGATTGCTATTTTTTTAAAATACTCTCACATTAAATAGAGTACAATTTTATGGGAACTTGAATTGATGGTAAAAAGAGAATTAACTCTCATTAAATGGGGTAGGTAGGTTTATAGTAATAACAACTTACATTAAATAAGGGTATTTTATGAAAGTTAAAATATAACTACATTCTTCAATTGGAAAGTGGACTACAATTTGGGACAGACGAAAAAGGAAAACAGGACTATCAAGAAGGTGGGACGGAGGGAGTATCTCATTTCACCAATCTTTTGAACCTAGTTTACGCTCAAATTCTACGACTGAATTGATCAGCAGTGATTGATTAATTAACTATGGAGAGCTATTTCATGGTACATGATATGCTACTTTACCACGTTACATTATTCAGTTTTTTGATAGCCTTGTGTGCGGCTTCTATGGTAATTATCTTTCTACAGGGGACATTATCTTTCTTGTGTCGGACGGGCATTATCAAACACTGCATCCCAACCTTTCTTCCTTCTTCTTTTTTAGCAAGAACTTCCATTTCTTGTTTTCACTCCCATTTAGGAATGACCTTTGAGGCTTTTAACTTCCCTACGGAACACTATATAGGATGGTTAATTGCAGCTCTCAATACTAAGAATCGGAAGGGAACTTTAGGGCTCTCATTTGAATTCGTGGAATGTTACACAGGAGGAATCGAGTAAAGCGCCTGTTAATTAGCTAGAACATCATTTTCATGTTTAAATCTGTCTTTTTGAGCTAGTCTTTACAATTCAGCCACCTACTTGTCTTCCTGGCCGAAAGGGGCTGTGCATGTGCCCTTGAAACATAGGTGGGAAGCATGCTTTGGTTGGTTAGAGTGGCCGATCAATTAGGCCAAGTTTCTAGTCAAGAGCCATGGGCAGTGTGAACATTATTGCCATCCAGCTGCTGCATTCAAGTTTTTTCCAGTAGCAACTCGATTATTGGGTACGAACTAGAGCTTAACTACTCCTTGCTCTAACCCATTACTGTATGTAATCAAAATTCCGTATCCCACAGTCTGACATGGCGAAACAATAACAACATATAGTTTCTCATAATCTGACATGTTTAACAGTCTCTCGTGCATTATGCAATGGAAAGAAAGCAATTCTTGTACGGTTGAATACTGGCCAATCGAATTGCAGCAAGGCCGAGAGACTGTTGAGGAAATTCATTTATTAGGGTAAAAAGCTTGTTTATTCACATGGATTTTGAGATTTTGGAGTTAGTCACTTAATGTCTAGCACATGGCGCCCTTCTCTTTTTGTTTTTCTGTTTGTGTGTGTGTAATTCTCTAAGCAAGAAGTCCAGGTACTTCTTTACTGGCTAGAGCCCATGCTTTGCTGCCAAAAATAACTCTTGGAACTAAAGAAAGCCCAATATAAATCTTTCACGAATTCAACATGGGATTTTAGAATAGCGAGTGATATTTAATTATGGCGCTGGTAAGTAGGTTTACAGATGGACAAAGTCGGGTTGTGCAGTTGAAAGGACATTGAATGAAGATAATGGCCATTGATCACTTATGCTTGAGAAATGTTTTCCCGGGGCATAAGTCAAGCTCACTGGGACCTAACCTCATGTGATGCCCTTTAAGTTTTGGTGTCGGCGGACCCTTCCCCCTGGCGATCATCATCATTATATATATGACAACGCTTTTCTGACTCAAATCACTCAAAACTAGTTTCACAAGAGAGAAGGGAACCGCAAACTCAATGAGGGGTGTTTCCCATCTCCTGTTCTTATTGGTTAGCATCTTCTTTGTTGTCAGCTTTTGCCGTGCTGATGACAAAACGGTCCAGGTTGTTGGGGCTGGAGAATGCGCAGATTGCAAGGACTTTAAGATCAAGACTAGCCAGGCCTTCTCAGGTTTGTCCTATCCTGGGTACCTTTTTGTAAGGGGTATCTGACAACGTACTAGTTTTATCCTAGCTTGCTCATGTGAAACAGCTCAAATTGCACAGCATGACCGCTTTCAATATATTCCCAAATTTACTAAAAATGGCAGGCCATTCTTTCGGCTGTACTTACTGGAACCTGTACATGTACTTAATTACTTGTGTGGTAGATCTCTGTCTACATCTCATGCTTGTCCCATGCATTAATCCTTGATCTGATGATGTTGGCTCATTTTAACTTTACTTAAATGGGGCCGCAGCAGTAAAGATTTTGCAGTTGAGAGAGGCATGGCATGGATTCAGGCTAATTGACAAAAATAACCAAAAGTATCTGCTACTGATGGCCAAAATGCATGCAGTGTAGTCTATCGTCTTTATAAAGAGTCCTTGAATATTCTTGATTTTGCCTTTTGCAGGGCTACGTGTGACTGTTGATTGCAAGCTCAAAAATGGAGAGGTGACAAGAAGGGGTTCTGGAGAGCTTGATTCAGAAGGGAAGTTCAGGGTATCCGTTCCCAGAGAAATTCTGAAAGATGGGAAACTAGATGAGGAGTGCTTTGCACAACTCCATAGTGCATCAGCAACCCCATGCCCAGCGCACAATGGCCTTGAAGCCAACAAAATTGTAGCCAAGCCAGATACTGATGGAAAACTGACTTTTGGTCCAGCTGAAAGTGTCAAGTTCACCTCAGCACTGTGTGCTTCAGCTTTCTTGTGGCCATTCTTCAAGAATCCACCTTTGCCCACGGGCCATCCCTGGTTTACACACCCTCCTTTGCCTAAGTTGCCTTTCCCCCCAATCTACAAGAAACCACTCCCACCAATCCCTATTTACAAGAAGCCACTTCCACCACCAATCCCAATCTACAAAAAACCACTTCCTCCGCCTGTTCCCATAATCAAGCCTCCTCCAATCATAAAACCTCTTCCACCCCCCGTGCCAATCTACAAGCCTCCGGTGTACAAGAAGCCACTTCCACCGCCAGTGCCAATCTACAAGCCTCCAGTAGTCAAAAAGCCATGTCCACCGCCCGTGCCAATCTACAAGCCTCCTGTGTACCAGAAGCCACTCCCACCGCCAGTGCCAATCTACAAGCCTCCTGTGTACCAGAAGCCACTCCCACCGCCGGTGCCAATCTACAAGCCTCCTGTGTACCAGAAGCCACTCCCACCGCCGGTGCCAATCTACAAGCCTCCGGTGCCAATCTACAAGCCTCCCGTGTACCAGAAGCCACTCCCACCGCCGGTGCCAATCTACAAGCCTCCCGTGTACCAGAAGCCACTTCCACCGCCGGTGCCAATCTACAAGCCTCCGGTGTACCAGAAGCCACTCCCACCGGCGGTGCCAATCTACAAGCCTCCCGTGTACCAGAAGCCACTTCCACCTTTCCCATTTTTCCCAAAACCACCATTCCCCTTCAAGAAACCCTTTCCACCAGTTCCTAAGCTTCCTCCTCTTCCAAAGTTCCCTCCGAAGGTCTTCCCCCCTCACCCTATAGTTGGACTTTTGCCTCCTCTGTCACCTCATTTGTCTACTCCTTAGGATTTCTATATATTTGCCCCTGAATATTCTATATAGGATGTTTTGGGAAATTTCCGGTTCTACAATAATAAAATCCTTAAACCAAAACAGATACGTGAAGAAAAAGAATGTACTTTGGAGAAAAAAGGGGCAAGAAAAAAGAAGAGACAAATAGAGAGAAAGTCGAATATTGTATTAATTTTAGTTGCATGAAGTTGACCTGTGTGTGAGATTGTCAAGTTATCAGTCGGACGTTGGTGATTTGTAAAGCTTGTAAATTTTCGAGTGCACTGCATAAATACCCAGAAATAATGTCCTCCATTTGTTCTTGTGTTTACAGTTCACCATCAATGAAAGTTTACCTATTGCTCCCTCGCAGTATCATTCATTGCTTTCTTCCATGCATTGATACCGCGCGTCCGGACTGATTGAACAGATCAAATTGTGCTTGATTGATGTTCAATATCTATTCTATTTCTGGAGAGTATTGATAAAGAATCATACATGGTGGAAGGTGGAAGTGAGTAAACCGGCTTTGCCAGACAAATATACCGCGTTATTAATGAAGAACACTGTACAGATTGGTAAATCAGTACGCGAACGTCATGGGAGAACGATATACTTTACTTACTTTACATGGTTTTAGTTATTAGTATCTTGTTCTACAAACATGAGAGAATTACAATTACGTACTCCCTTGTTTGAATTCACCAATGAACTATACGAAGTAAACTACTTGATTAACATCAAAACACAAGCAGAAATCTTCACCAGAGGTTTTCAGGCAGAATTTGTTAGCTATCTCGTTGATCTAATCCTTCTTTGCTTGATTCCACCATGCAACATGTGTAATTATCTCTCAAACTCTGTAACATTAATATCTCAAAAACAAATATATATATATATATATATGTGTGTGTGTGTGTGTGTGTGTGTGTGTGTATTAGACGTCTGGTTGTGATTCCCACTCTGAATGTTCACCTTGTTGCCTATTGCATCTTGAACTTTCGAGTTTTGGCCATCTAGTTTTGCCTATTTTTCTGCCATTTTGGTCCAATTAGGAGTGAAATGATAATTACCGAAGTAAATTTCTGTAGTTAAACTTCAAATTTCTTGGCTGGATATTTACTGAGACTATTATATGAAGCAGAACAATGGTTAAATAGCACTATTTAGGGGGAAAAAAAACTTAGCTGGTTGGTAGTATTTGACTGTTAGGTCAATTAGGCAAACGCTGTGACAACAATTAATTCTGTAAAAATATTATTTTTTTTTTTGAACAATGGCATTTTCATTAACGTTAAGGTTTACACTTTCTTCTAAAAAGTTTCTTTTATATATCTTCAAAACAAAGTTTCTTTTAGATTCATTATGAGAAGAAAAGAATTGTGGTACTAAAGTCGCATTCATGGACATCAACTTCAAATCTTCGCAATTTCACAGTGATCACTTGACAAGCAGGTGTTTTGCGTGATCAATCCTCAATCATAATCAGCGACCAGAAAATGACGGAAATTATTTCTTAAACATTCAGAAAGGGGAAAACAACATGTGTACGTAATACTACAAGCGAATGCGGCATGGCATGCATTGATTAAAAAGTGCATTTGTCACTGAAGTTTAACAAGTTAATGCACAATTTGTTCTAAACCCGAGGCAATTAATCATGACTAAAAATGATATTTACAATATAACCCTTTAAAGATTACTTTAATCTTTTTTACCCCGCCTCTCATTGTCTATTTAGGGTGCATTTGATAAAACTGAAGTCTGAAATCTGAAATCTAAATCCATTAAGTTATTGAATTGTTAAGTATTAAATCTAATATATCTGAGTGCATATCACATTCAGTGATAAGTGAATAACTTATCACTTAATTTTGAGAGCAAGTTTTACCTAGAAATTCAATGTCACTTAATTAATTCAAATGTTCAATTTTGGTTATTAAATTGTCTAAATATGTTAAAATTTGAACTCATTAACTTTAAGTGTTGAATTGGATTACCAAACAGGGTTTAGACCGCTCGCACTCTAAACTTTCAATTTTCCCAAATGATACAGTCAACTCATTAATCATAGATTGAATTTGACTCTGTCATGTGACAGGTAGAAATGTTGTAAGGAAGTTAAAAGTATGCCTTTCAGTAAATGAATCAATAATTTGTCAATTTGGGAAGATTGAAGAAAAACATTAAGGGTGTATTGCTGGCCAAAATTCAGTTGTTTTCCTTGAGGCTAGATTTGACTTTTTCGATCTTTATCTACACAAGGGGTCACACGTTACCCCTCAACTTATTACTTTCATTGATGACAAGTACAAGTCTGTTATTTTCGTGCAATATGTGTATCTAAAATACTGAGAGGTCATATTCAATTGAGTTTTTCTTGGGTTGATTGTACCACAGTAGTAAATAGTCATGGGGCGAACTGATGACATGGAAAGGACAACAAGAGGAGCAAATTGGGATCATGTAGGAGTATTTTTCTTGGGTATTTGAATGCGAAGTTTAGGTGCTTCTCATCGTTTCATGTGGGGCCAATTTTCTGTACTTTCACGTACGCATGCATGGATGTAGTAATAAACTGGCAAAGTTCTGGTAAAGAAAAAACAGAAAAGGGCTTTGAAGCCATCTTGCGGTTTCCGAGTTCTGCTCCCTGAATGGCCACGTTATTCTGTAGTACCAAAAACAACTGTCTGTTCTTGAAGTCATCTGACGTGAGGCACTGCACAAATCATTGGTTCCCCTACACACTTAATCAGTTCATCTCTGTCGAAGAAACGAATTACTAGCAGTTGGGAACTGAAATACAATAATCAAAGCTAGCTATTAATAAACGAGAGCTGATTATGAATGTAATGAAGTTTTGACGGGTGTCAATGAGCATAATTCCTGATCAGTGCAAACTTATTTTGAAACTCTCCATGGTCTTGCTAAACTCGCATGTTACTTAGTCTAGTTGAGAATGCGAAATTCAACTATCATGTGCTCCACCTAAACGAATGTGCACTTAATTCTTGTTGGAAAATTGATAGATATTCAGGATGGCTGGTTGGTAGGTACGGTTTTGAGTACAGAGATGCGCTGTTCATTTGAATGCTTGTTCCGTGTTTCTATCAGCTTTGCCGGTGGCATTACTACCATAGTGCAGCATTGAAGAATAGCCCTCGGAGATCACGAATTCGTCATATAAGTGGTCCTGTAGATTCCGAAAATTAATCTCTAGCCTAAGAAGAGAGCTCAACTTTGAGCCAGACCGGATGCCTATTGCGTTGCTCCGTTTCATCTCTGCTCAGTGCTTCTAACATCCTGCAACATACCGCCCCAATGGGGATTCCCCAGTTCCGTCGAGAAGGCTGGTTAGGCTTCTATCTGACCCTACTTTTGGCTTCGAGCCTGTGCCATGGCAAGCATGTCCAAGTCAAAATAGTTGGATCCACCGAGCGTGCACGATGCACCTCTGATGTAGTAAAAACCTGGCATCCAACTTCTTCAGGTGCAGTTCACTATTATTATTTTTTTTACGTTGCTTGGCACGACTTAATGAAATCTATATTGTCTTGCGTCCATTCCGGCACGAGCACCGTGTCTGTCAAAGTGCAACAAGCTCTTCTGCATGTCATCTATATGCAAATTGATCTTCCATATGCATGCATTTGATTGCAATGAGCGTTCGTGCTCTTATAAGTTGACACTGACAAACCGTGAATCCTATGGCGGTACTTGATGTTGAACAAGCTCTCTAATCTTTAATCTTCTCTCACTATTAGCATTGAGTTTATGCACTCATTCTTCTGATTTACTGTACGTTTGTTTCCTTCAAGAGATTGAATCTAGCTCAGGTTTGCGGATGGCGAGACCTAACTTGGTGTCAAAATTGATGCTTGAGGCTTCTGTTGTGCAGGGGAACGCCTGGCAATTGAATGCAAGTCTCCTGATGGGAACTTTAGGACTCTGGGAAAAGGAGATTTTGATGCCAAAGGGAATTTCGAAGTTAATTTTCTTGAAGCTGATATGAGGGAAAAGGAATGCTATCTGAAGCTCCACAGTTCATCAGGCGCGCCATGTCCGGTACAATTGGCCAAGAGGATCTTGGCCGTGATGCTCAAGTCTATAGATTACCCAAACCAAACCTCAGCCACGACACCGAGGCTTAAATTTTCTTCCAATTCATGCATTGCAGCGATTTCAAGGATGTCCGACGAGGGCAACCCAGTAGAATCTTCTTCTCCGAGACAATCAAAAAATGGAAATATTGAAAGATTGCCACCAACTTTCACAGAATATATTAAGCCTCTCCAACCAACACCCCAGCAGAAACAAAACTTGGCTCGACCACCAGTTTCAGTGTCAAGGAAACTGCTTACCCATCCTATTCAAATTTTCCCACCAATAATTCCTCCTCTTGTTCCAGACATTCATTATCCATTTCCAGCACTTGCTCCTCTTGCTGGAATCCCACTTCCTACACCAGCTCCAACGTATCAGATGCCCCTTCCGCCATCTGCAAACTCACCAGAGCCTGTCATTCAGAAACCATATCCTCCACTGGCTCCAACATATCAGAAGCCCCTGCCTCCATCTTCAGATTCACCAATGCCTATCATTCACAAACCGTATCCTCCACCAGCTCCAAAATTTAAGAAATCATCTCCACCGCCTCTACCAGTTGAAAAACCAAATGATCCAGCTAACCCTCCCATTTTTATTTCTCCAGCATCACTTCCTCAACCAAATCCATCGCATGAGCAGGCACCATCACCCTTATCTTATGTACGGCCTTCCCCATCATCGGCTACGCCCAGCAATTCATTTTCTCCAATTCCAAGAGCTCCCCCAATACCCGCACTTCCCCCTATTCCCACTGTTCCGAGGAGGTATTTCAACTTACCCAAGTCCGGGCACAAATCTCCAACTCCTCCTACCAAATCTCATTCCTAATGTTCCAGAATTTATAGTCCAAAAATATAAGGCTTTCTATTCCATGCATGTTGAGTACTTTTTTTTTTTTTTTGGGTGTATCCTATAGTAACAAGGAGAACTGGTGAGAAAGTATCAAAATCTGTACCGTCTGTGTCACTAAGAAACAGTCGTGTCATTGTCGGTGTTGTTGAGCATTCAAAATTCAGAGCAATGTGCAAGTAGTGTAAATTTTCATCGTTGGAAAATAATACACTCCGACTCATTTTTGAGTAACGCTTAATTAACAAAGCGAGATCATAAACAGGAGACAAGCACTTCAACATTTGGTGCAAATATAGTAGGCTTTCAAAACTTGAAAAAAAAAAAAAGAAAAAGAAAAAAGTGGCACTTCGTTTACCGATTTGAATCCATCACCTAGCCAATGACGGAGCCAAGGGGGCTCAGGGGCCATGGCTCCCCTG